TGGTAACATCAAAATAACTACTACTAATAGCTGATCGCAAGTGTCTCCCCCCCCCCCCCCCCCCCCCCCCCCCCCCCCCCACCTCCTCCCACACTCTCTCTCTACCGGACGACAACTTTCCGGGCAAAATTTCATGAGCGCGAAGGTATGTTACAAATCGGGGTCGTACCGAAAGAGAAAATAGAGAAGGGGATGCAATCGGTGGTGTGCTTTGAGTTCTGACCCCGGAGCACTATGTGGCTGGCAGGTGAGAAAGTCTAGATAGGGTCAGTTCTGCTGGTAAAGTGTTACTTTCAACATCATGCTCTTCTCTGGGTGAAGCTGAATAGCTCTTCATGATTCGGCGCGCAATCTACTCCTATTCAGAATCGTGGAGGCTTTTTGGATGTATATGCTCTATGCAATGACTTGCGGGGCGAGCTGATGTACTTGTCAGTGTTCTTGAGCTCCCAGACTGAATTGGTACAGTTTACCGTCGCCGGAGGGAACAAGGCTTGGGCGAGAGATGGTTTGAGATTTGATCCCCGCAACGTGCGTGTATTAAGCGTGCCACTCGCCACTACACCACCTCCTATGCAGGAAAATATGTTTGAAAAACTCGCCTTAGTCTTCTTTCTCGTCGAAGTTGGAGTTCGGCTAATCCCGTCGATTGACGACTAAAAACTGGCTTATAGTACGGAAGAGAATCCAAACGGCTGCAATTGCCGCCAAAAACTGACGCGGTCACGTACTGATCAAAAGTGCAATACAAGGGGAACAAGGGCAAAAGATAAGGATTTTGAATTAGTAAAGTGCAAATGAACATTCAAAAAAGAATACGTTAGGGAGGTGCTAGTGAAGAAAATCGTGAAGGTTCACATCTCAAGAGGAAACGTGGAGTTTCTTTTATAGAGAGGGGACGTCCTGTAGCCCTCAACTAGAAACATGGAAACATGGAGTTTCTTCTATGACGAAGGGACCTCCTGTAGCCCTCATTCCCCGTCCTGCTTACCATCCCGCCCCTTAAATTTTCCCAACTACCACTTTCAATGGTTATACATGAAACGGGAAACCAAGGTGGATACGACCTTCCCTGCCTCCCTTCAGCGACCATGTGTGACCCCCCTCCGGATTCCCAACGTACGACGTGCCCTATCCAGTCTTTTCTTCACGGATACCGTTATGAAAGGACAGACCAACTATAACAAAGTGAGCCTCGAAAGGAAGAAGGTAGCAATGAAAACCCCGAACGATGAAGCAAAAGGAGGAATGATCGACAAAAATGGTTCTAAAAATCTAGGTTTCTTGACCATGAGTGAATTATAGGCGCAGTTCTACTAAGGGAATGGAGGGGAGGGAGGGTGGAGGGATGAGGGGCTGGCACTAATGGGTAGATGAGTAAAACTCGTTGTGCAGGTTCGTGAACAAGGAAACGGTGATCCCATTTTTGCACAAGGGGTCTTTTAGATGCCCTCTCTGTGGGTAACTTCCCCTGTCGTTTGTGGTTACTCCGAATAAAGAGGTAAACCTTGGGATGGTTTCAGTGTTTCTGTCAACCGGATGTTCTCTCACTGTGAAGGTCCAGATGTGTTTCCTCATAGGACCTTCTTATCGAGCAAGGAAATAAGGAAGAGCAGGAGAAAAGTAAGTAATAAAAAGGATGGAGAAAGTAAAGAGAATGGAGGAAAGAAGCCTCGCGATTGACAGATATCCTGGGACGATGAGAGGACAGATCATCCATAGCATGGTGAGGCTCAAAAGAACGAAGATCGCAATAAAAAGGAAAGATCCACGATAGTGAAATAGAAGGAAAAGGCTCAATAGAAATGGTTTTGAAGTTTCAGATTTTTGGACC